TGATACATTGCTTTACACCTATTTGAGTTACAGATTTTGGTACATTAATCTTGACAATATCTTTTTCAATCAATTGCCAAATGTTTGACATATAAAGAAGTGTTAATCAAGGTATACAATGTCTGTACAAGTGGTTTAATCGTAATAAGTATTGGCTACTACAAGCCTGAGAAGAGATTGTTGACTTATATTGTTTCGTCTCTCTTTTCCTGTGAGACTTGTGAAGAAGAGAAAAGGAATATGTCCACCCTCAAAGGCTTTCTACATGAATCAACAAAATATAATGATCGTATGAAAGAGCTCAAGGAATTTGATGAGACAAAATGTGGCGTAAAGGGGCTCGTTGATTCTGGGATTGTGAAAATTCCTAAATTATTCATCAGACCAGATGATGAACTTGCTGAGGAATCAAATCATGGCCGATCAGATATTCAAGTTCCAATCATTGATCTAACTGGAATCAATACTGATCATGATCATCGTAAGAAGATTATCAACGACTTGAAACAAGCATCGAAAGATTATGGGTTTTTCCAGTTGTTGAATCATGGAATCCCTCAGCGTGTTTTAGATGGAATGCTTGAGGGAATACGCAGGTTTCATGAACAAGATGCTGATATTAAGAAAGAGTTCTACTCTCGTGACCGGTTCAAAAAGGTGAAGTATTCAAGCAATATTGATTTGTATCAGTCGAGTGCTGCTAATTGGAGGGATACATTAACCATTTCTCTGAAGGTTTCAGACTCTGTTGAATCTAATGAATTGCCAGCAGCTTGCAGGTATATTTTTCAGTCTTCACATTCCTTGCAGTATGGTTGACAACATCAAATCTGAAATCTGACTTTTCGTTTTTATTTAGCATTCCAGTTCCTTTTCCTCCAAGAAGAATATCAAGTTAATAATAAATACTAAAATCTCATACATGGCTAAGTTGACCAAATCTTTTACAATGAATTGAGAATTGGTTTATGTATCTTCAGTTGGATTGGATGTCTTCTTCAGTATTTATATGAATTATACTCCAATTTGACATCCAAACATACCTTCAACAATACCATAAAAATTTAAGTTTTGCCCAATAAATTGAAGTCAAATACATAAATTTCTTTCTGTCAATTTGATTCATTAATAGATCTAGTGAAAGATCCGACTACAAGGGGCTGTGTTTGTTTTGATATGTCATCCCTCTTCAAACTTGTTCGACTTAAATAGCATCGTTCTTTAGAATATGGTCTTCTTTAAGTCTATGCATCTGTTTTCATATGTATAATGCCCTTATTCAAGTTAATTCCATATATATTTATTTTTCGACTAGCAGAAGTTCAACAATCGAGTACATTGATCAAGTTACAAAGCTAGGAGAACTTCTGCTTGAGTTATTAGCAGAAGCCCTTGGCCTCAAACAAGAACACCTAGTTTCCAAGGGATGTGCCAAAGGATGCACTCTCGTTTGTCACTACTATCCAGCATGCCCTGAGCCAGAATTGACTTTGGGAACCAGCAAGCACACTGATCCTGGTTTCTTAACTATTGTCCTTCAAGATCAAATTGGTGGTCTTCAAGTCCTCAAAAACAACCAGTGGATTGATGTTCAACCCCACTCTGGGAGTTTGGTAGTAAACATTGGAGACTTCCTCCAGGTTGAACAGCTTTGAAATCGACTTTTAAATTTTTGGACTCAATTGAAATGGATTTTTGTAAGCCTTGTTTTCTAATGATCTGCCCCCGATTGTGTTCAGATGATATCAAATGACGAGTTCAAAAGTGCTAAGCATAGAGTGGTTGCCAATCGGGTAGGACCAAGAATTTCAACTGCGTGCTTCTTCATCGGTGATATAGTGCCTCCAAAGATTTATGGTCCAATCGACGAGCTGGTAACACAAGAAAACCCCCCTCTATACAAAGAATTTACAGTAAGTAGTTATGTAAACAAGTATTCCTCGCGGGCAATTAACAAATCCACCGTTGAGGATTACAAGTTACAAGCCTAGCTATTTACAGGAGCAATACCAATGCCAAAACCAGCTTATATAAAGTAATAAGCTTGAAAATATTGCCAATATATGTAATTTATATGTAGTTCGGTAAATTTTAATATATTTCTAATAAATTTATCAGATACAAGTTGCTACTCAACCAAAAGTGCTTATTTTAGCCCAAAATACAATTGAACCCTAATTTTTAAACCTCAGAAAACACCTTTTTTACCCTCAAACTGAATTTTTTTTCATGGCCAGCATAATCATAAATTCTCGTCTATTACTGCTCTGTGTCCTGTTTATGGAGCTTAAAACTTGACAATGCAGAAATTCCGTTGAGACCATTCTTGTATCTCTGCACAATGAATTCTTTTACGGTGATTTCTTTGTAGATTGGAGGATTTTCATCTGATAACAACTCTTTGATTGGTCCATACAGTCTCGAAGAAATTCCATCTCGAAAATGTGTTCTGAAGAAACATGCTACTGAAACTCTAGGTCCTGTCTTGTTTGCCAGTACTCTGTGATGAACACTCTTGAACTTATCATTAGTGATCAGCTGCATCAGGGCAAGTCAAGCAAATGTTAAATTTAGTCCCAAAAAAGAGCAAAAGGTAAACAATATAAATCAAGTTCTACAGGAACTTGTTTATACGAGGTTGTCACAAGAATTTATAAAAGCAATGTGCCTGAAAAAAGCCTATATTTCTCTCATTGCACGAGCAAAGACTTCGATCTCTCTTATTTTGTTTTTTTTTTACGGATATAACTAGTATCAATTCTTCTGATAGCAACACTGCAACAGTAAACCAAACTAAAACCAAAAAAAAGCGGCTCACCTTCTATGAAAATTGCATCGAAATGTCATATATAACAGATTCTACTACACTACACCTCAAGTAGAATATAACATTACTTGCCTGCAAGAGATCTGCAATGTTTACAATCAGCACTCCAGGGAGCAAGGGGACATTGATCCACTGGTTCTCATGAAGGACTTGTAGGCCGCCAATTTGATCTTGGTGTACTATAGTTAGGAAACCACTGTCAGTGTGGCTGCTAAGCCCAGCCGTCAATTCTGGTTCAGGACAAGCTGGATAGTAGTTGCCTAGAAGTAGAATCCCCTCGGCACAATTCATGTCATTGAGGTGATCGGGTTTGAGCCCCAAAGCTTCCGACAGTAGTTCAAAAAGAATATGCCCCAACTTCGTTACGTAGTTAGCATACTTAGTCATTATGCCTCTGGAAATCACGCAAGTACGGTTATAATATAGGAGTTCGATCTACTCTAACACATGTTGAAACAAAAGACGTAACAGCTTAAGCTTTAGGTGCGGTTGTTCAAGAGTACCAAAGGAGATAAATCAAGATCTGTTAAAAAACTGTAGATAGAAAGCTCAGTCAGAAAATTGTGTTACAGATTGATTGTTGTGGATTGTGTATTAAGAAATATTTTGTTGCCTCATTCGAAATATATGGTATGGGTTCGTCTGCATGTAAGCTCGAAATAGTACACGACTACACGAGTATTGAAAGAAACTCGACCAAGCGTATAAATTAGCTTAGACATGGACATGAAAAGCAAAAGACAAGATACTTTCAAGCAATTTGCACAGAGAACACAAAGTTGCAATAAAAAATTTAGAGAAGAAACAAGAAAAATTTTTGAAGCATAGTTTTTAAAATAATTAATTAGTTTGCATTCTCTAAAATTTTAAGCTTTTAGATGATGGGGTTCAACAAGAATAACTCGTGTTTAATTATAATTTTGTTATCTTCAGCCACATTTTGCTTAATGAATGAAAACTGCAAACAAATTTTATACCTGCAGACAGCAGGCAATTCTTCTGGGTCAGGTGGATGAGGAGCCAAAATGCATTCAAGAGTATCTCTCCAATAAGCTGCTGGACCTTGGAATAGATCAAAATTACTGTTGTATATAAACTTCTTCGAAAAATCCCTTGAGTAATACTGTTTCTTCACCTCAATTTCCTGTTCGTGAAATCTTCTTACGGCAACCATCATATCATCGATAACAGGAGTTGGAATCCCATGATTGATTATTTGAAAGAATCCCCAATTCTCGCTAGCACCTCTGATTTTTTCGATGATCTCAGAGCACCTACAATCATCCTCGTCCATGCCTGCAAAGTCTATGATCGGAATACTTAGCTGAGAATTGCAGGATACTGGAAATTGGTTAATCTTGCTCTTATCATGGATAAAGATACGTGGAATTTTCACTATCTCGGAATCCACAAGTCCCTTAACACCAGCTTTTGTATCATCAAATGCTTTTAGCTCATCTATACGATCATCCTCAAGAGTAACAAATTTTCGGCTGGTCGTGAACATAATTTTAGATTCAGCTTTCCTCTTTTGAGATGAACTTTCTGATATGATTGAATTGGATGTAAAAAGTAACTAACATGCAGAGAGTTTTTTAAGTGAAAGATGTCAATCTTTAAAAGCCTCATAAAGGCAACTGATATTTAACAGGCTCCACTCATTCTCATTTGTTTGGATATGATTAGGTAAGGACCCTCAAATAATTTTATTTGCTGTATTTTGTCACTATCATCCCTTAGATTATGATTTATACCCCCTTTTTATTTGATCTACTATTTATGAATAATGATGTAACCTCAGATGTCCCACCATAACAACTACAAACAAGGCTTTAGTGTATTCAAGCGACTTGATAGATGACANAGCATATACGCTAAAAATCTAAATGAAAATTCAGATCGCCATGCCTAATTAACAGATTTTATAATGTGACAGCGTAGAGGCACCATCGAGCCCTTTATTGTAGTAATGTGCGAGGTAGTCCCATGTGGTTCTCCTGGGAAATTTGGGATAAAAGTTCCTTCATTGGTCTGTAAACTCTTGATGCTGTCCCTTCTCTAAAATGTGTTCTGAAGAAAGATGGCACTGATATTCTTGGACCTATTTTCTTTGACAGCACTCTATGATTGACACTTTTGAACTTGTCATTGATAATAAGATGAGAAAAATGGAATCATTTGTAGGAGGAATTACAGTTTATTTGTCTACCTTAATAACCTCAAAATATGTAAGAAAAGTGACAAATAATTTTTAGTCTCGATGAATCAAAGTTCTAGAGCTTCAGAAAGCAACTCAAACTGAGGATGCTCAAATTTCATCATGTAGTTAGACTATTCAAAGAAATATATCCCTGCAAGTAGCAAAACTTGTCATGCTCAATGCACAATGGGAAGGGAGTCTGTCAATGGACTGAATTATGATAAAGAACTAATTATGCTAGGCCTTACCTAAGCAAAAGACATACATAAACACAAAATTAATTAAGAAAAGATACATAAATGTTTAAATGGAGAGATTTTCCATCTTAATAGGGTAAATGCAAGACCGCGAAAAAAGAAACTGGACTCATAGTCAATTATGTTAGGACCGGATTAAGACGTCATCACTTCTTATGAGAGCAATAATAAACGGAATAAAAATTTGAAAGCAAAACAAGCACACATATCTATTGTGGTTTACATCAATGAGAAGGGTACATATATTAGGGGTATAATCTGATATCGGCTAAATACGAAAACAATAGCCCATACGGTTTGGGCTACTCCGATGAGAAAAAAAATGAACTTTTAAGATGAATCCCGAGACCTCAAACAAGAAATCATATCAACCAAAAAGCTCGAACAGTGGAGCAGGTTAAAGAGTTTTCGAACGAGTCACTATCTTCTAGAGCATGTTAAAAGTAAAATCCTACATTAGCTAAATAAGAAAATAATAGCCATCCTATAAGGGCTTGAGTTCTTAATAGCTGGCGCTTTAAGTTGGAATACCAAGATTGGATAATGTTAAATTGCCATTTTCGCTATACAAGAGCACAAGAGTACAAACTTTTTTATCTTTTCATGTCTCCCGTAAACTCAAAACCAACTCTCTAAAATCCTTTCCATTGTGTGATACATGCACTTAATACCAAATCGTACAGCACGACTAGGCTCTACAAAGTCCAACAAATTAGCCCAAAGAAGTTGAGCATATAGCTGCAAATTGGAGGCAAATACTTGGCTTCTGGCGGATTAGGAGCCATAATACACGACATGGTATCCCTCCAGGGGCTAGGTACATATCAAAATTGCAATTATATATAAACCCTTCTGTAACATCTGGCAAATAGTACTGTTTCTTTACCTCGGTTTCTTGGTCATGAAAACCTCGTACCCAAAAATCATTTCTTTCATTATACTCGACAGAATCTCATGAAGATTACCTGAAAAAATCCTCATTTTCACAAGCATCTCAAATTCTCTCCATGATTACATTGCGCCCAGCCATGTTTGTATAAATTCCGTCGAAGTTCATGATGGGAACATTAAACTGAGAGTTTTTACAGTTCGATATCTCCTCGGTCTGCTTAACTTGATCATCATGAGAAAAAATACGAAGTAGTTTCAATATCCCAGAATCCACAAGTCCCTTAACACCAGCTTTTGAATCATCGTACAATTTAATTCACTGGTCCTGTCGTAGACAGATATTCCTTTTGCCTTAACTTCCATGTCAAGAGGGACAAAAGGAACGGAAGACAAAGGCAGAGACAGAGACAAAGACAAAGACAGAGACAAAAAGATTTATGATAGAATATCATCCGACATATATTAAGTGGTTTGGCTATTTCTCTCTAGCTTTAAGTGACGTGAAAGTCACTAATTTGCTTAGTTTAAAATTAGCCAAAAAGTTTAAAACTTAACAAAGTAAACCAAGCAAAGAAATATAAAGCCAGTCTCTCTTTTGTCTACGATTAATTTCTGAATTTCAAGACTTACAAAAGGAATTCTCTTAAACTTAGGCTTTAAGTTAAACATGTTAAATAGGACAATAAATCATATTAAGGCACATCAGTGCTGCAAATGATACATTCTTACAAAAACTGCCACGAACAATAATAAGGAATATTGTCGCCGTTATCAAAACCGAACTTCAATATCCTCTCAAGTTATTTTCACTTTAGGAGCCACCTTCTTCTTAGACGATCTTCTTGATATTGAGTTTTTCATCCCGATGAAAAAGAGCAGAGCACCGAGAAGTGCCAAACCCTGATTAAAACATTAAAAAATTCAATCATCTCGACACAACAAAATATAATCACTTAAGCAAAATTCAATCATCTCAACACAACAAAATATAATCACTTGAGCAAACTGATTTATATAGAATTCTGAAAAGAATATCTACAAGTTTAGAATCATGTCAAACTGGCTGACCTGCGTGAAATTCACGAAGAGCTCAACAAATTGTTTCTTATCAGCATCGTAGTTATAGAAGTCGTATAAGATGGTGATCGCAATTACCTGATACAGAAGCTGCATGGGGGCAGTGAGTTAGAGACAGAGAGACTAGGTTAAAATGATCAAAGGAAGGATGCGTGGATTAATACACGTACAAGGATAAAAGCTCCAAGAGAGCTGCCAAAAATGAACAACAGGCTTCCGAGTCCCTTCATAATCATGGCACCCAAGATTAAATTTTTCGTCTGCAAACAACAAATCTCCAAATTAATGAGTATTGAACCACCTCATTTAAAATTTTAAACTATTAAACATAGCATCCGTACAAAGGAGACACGATCCTTCTATCTCCAATCATGTGGGGATGTCTGGACCAAAGTACCAACCAAAACATAGTACGGGTATAAATAAAGGAAGCTAGTAGCACGTCGTCTTTATTTAAATTTAGTCTTCAATATGTCCCCTTGAGTATACGTCAAATAATTTTTTTATCAAAGGACTAAAACATGCACAATTTCAATAAACAAGTGGTGGCAACAGTTGAACTCGTGTCTTTTGCATGCTCAAATAACATGTTAAATCACCTCCTTAAAGCTTAGGTTGTTATAGACGAAATGCATTTATATATTTAGCTAATCTAATCTTCAACACTGGGCAATTATATTACAAGGTCTATAATGCTATTGTGTACCTTGCAATTTAAGCAAAGATATGGAGAAGTGCTTCTTACCTCTACATGTGGTAATTCATATCCAGTGTGGGACGTAATATGCTTGGCGAAAACGTCGAACTTTGGCCTCAAAGACTTTGCTGCTCGCCCACCATCAACACCAAATTCATTGAACCTGCAAGAAGATAAATATACCTTAAAATGGATGCATAAGTAAAGACAATGACTTATTAGAGTAGTCAAATGTGTCAAATTTAAGCCAAGAGGTTAAGATATCTGACCCTCTTCCCACAAGAAGGGTATCATCTTTTGCAAATAAATTTAAAATATAATAATCCCTCCTTGCAAAACTGAAAGCTCCTACTTTGACAGTTCCAATTAGGAAGATCTGATCAATACGTAATTTCTCATTAATTTATTTTTGAGACAAGAATTTGTATAGTGAGGAAGTTTCATTTAAATACTACTAAACAAGGCTTAGAAAAACTGCCCGTTTGACATTGAATGTCAATTGAATACATTTAGTTGTGGACGGTGGAAGTGTTATCGATTGCCACACAAATCGACTTATCAACTTACCGACGCTCGTGTTATGAAGTAAGAAGTTAGAGGCTGCCTTGGACAAATTTTATATTAGTGCACATAAGAAAGTGAACACATCCGATGAAATGAAAACTAAGTCCACCAAAAATATGGATTCCAGTTTGCTTGATAACAATAGACTGATACTTTGGCATGAGTTCCTTCGATCTTGAGTGGATGGTTTTGTTTTTGATGAGAGTTTGGAGTTCGGGAGGAAAGTTCTGGATGGGAGGATTTTGTGAGGATGAATTCATCATCCAGATGGTAGGGATTTGTGGTTGGATAGAAGGTTTTGTTCTAGAGAGTAAATCGGGTAAAAAATTGTGTTTGCCTTTGATATGTTTGATCTCAAAGTCAAAGTTGGAAAATCATTCTGCCCATATCACAAGCTATGAATTTGGAATCTGCTTCTTTTTAAAATTCAGCATTTGAGGAAATGCCTTCATTTCCATTTCTATCAGACTTGAATATATTAACATTTTTTTTTTTCAAAAATCTTCTTGTTTCCTACTGTTTTATATCACTAAGTAGTAGGGCTGGGCAAATCTCCCGAACCGAACCGACCGAATCGAACCCGAACCGAACCCGACGGTTCTTGTCAAATTAAATACTCGAACGGGTATCTGAATTGAGAATCGACAGGTACGGTTCGGTTCTCGATTTTAGACCAAGAACCGAAGAACCGAATAAAAACCGAATCTTTCTAATTTTTTTTATATTGAATAAATCAAATTATTTTAATTTTAATTTTTTCTAAACAAATTAACAAATTAACAATTTCTAAATTCAAATTTTTGGCCCAATAATTTGTTTCATTTCTAATTTTTTTATTTTTTGCCCAATTACCCATTTTATTGTCTCATTTTTTAGCCCAACAAGATCCAACCCACTAAATAACCCTAAATACTTACACTAAAGTGCATAACGTTGTCTCGACTCTCGAAAGCCTCGCTGACATTCCAAAACCTATACAATCGCCGACCGACACTGTGACTTCCGATCGAAACTGTGACCTACGCCAACCGAAATTTTGACCGTAGCGACCATTTGAATAAGGTAGTCTACTAGTCTCTGACATTTCAAAACCATTGAACGTGTCATTAGTTATATTTATATAATGTTGTTATAAATGTGAAAACATTTAATTATAGTATAGAACCGAACGGAACCGAACCGATCCGAACCGAACCGAACCCGAACGGTTCCATAATTATATTTGGACCCGACGGTTCCATTTACTAAATACCCGAAAATTTTGGTTCGGTTC